CAAAGAGCAACAAAGACAGGACACGAAGGGCCATCGTGGTCCAAAGCCGAAAGCAAGGCAGCTGATTGAGCAACTTGAACCGAAATGCTACAAGTTGAAGTCAAAAGAGCCATTAATCGGTGAGCAAGAACAGGCATGTAGGAGGTCATGAGGTTGGACCCACCTCACACTGCTTGTTCCAGTAGCATTGATTGGGAAGCAGTGAGAACAAAGCAGAAGCAGTTTGGAAGGAGGTTGTCGGAAGCTGAGCACTAGACAAGTACCGGCAAACGCCGTCAAGCAAGTCCTGCATTCATGGCCATCGTTCTGAGACACTGCTCTGCAAAACGAACAATGCCCTGCAAATAAAAATGCATCATAAAACGATGTATGCAAAATCTTCAAAGAAGGATTCAGAATTCATCAGCTGCTGGAGCAGTATCCACAGTGCTCTCGAACAGAATCCGACTGCTCAAATAATGAGAGAAGGATATTGGTTGCCAGATTCTCCAAAGCCCCAACACGCCGACATCCTCCCCCAAAAAAGGCATCCATGCTCTTCCAGCTGCCAGTCCTGAACACCTTTGTTCTTGTACGCAGAGCCTCAGCACACCAGCTGGTTGCTCTTGATTGAGAAAATCTTCGATTGGAGGCCATCGCGCCGCTAGTAGGTTGGAGGCCATCGCTATTAGGTTGAAGGCCATTGCTATTAGGTTGGAGGCCATTGCTATTAGGTTGGGCCCACTGCGCATCAGAGCACCTCTAAGCTTTGAAGTGCACCCAACTTGTGTCTCAACACAGAGCCACAATGCTTTCAAACCATGAAGGAAGTGGCTTGGTCTGGCCAAGACACCCATGAAGAGAGGGCAAAAGGTTCTGGCAATGGTCGTTCGTCGAATCGCGGCCTGGGAATTTGCTGGGTTAGCTCTGAAACTTAGCCTTAAGGACCTTAAAGAAAAAGAAATCCCATTGATACTGAAATGAGTCACCGTTAGGGAGTGTACCCGAGGAGAGAAAAAACATGGGTTTCAGCCCGAAACACGGGCATCCGAACCGATCAACGTGAAAGGAACGAACGAGCCGAACAGTTCGCCGTCTCCGAGGACCGTATCCGTCTGCCCCTAATGCTTCTATCCGGGAAGACCGAGAGTCAACGGATGTTCAGATCATGACACAAATGCTTCAAAATCAAAGACAAATAGACAGAGCTACTATGGATGTTCAGACCTACACCCATCATATTGATGCATATGCAGTATTCAGTTGGCCTGCTGAGCCTGGCGCAAAACACGCCAACTGCAGATATCAGCACTGGGCATGCACATCCAGAAAATTGTTTCTTGAGCACTCGAGTACAGCACGAGCGTACAGGAAACGACTGGAGTCCCTTATGCCGATTGCTGAAGGATGGGTCATAAATATAGACCACAAGAATGCTTAAAGAATCTCCATGACTGAAATTGTGAAGCTGAAACACGTCAAGATCTTAGCCATTGGACCATAGGAGTACAAGGATGCTTTCATGTTGGACCAGTTCGTCTGAGATGCGGTATACGGTATAGCCACCACCGGAAACAGGCCTACCTCCAAATCTGGTCGGTCCCTCTGCAAATCAAACGTTCCCTACCGATTCAAATGCTCTTGAGCTAAGTTCTGCACATGGATGGCATCTTCGGGAACATCATCATGTTCCAGGTACACCTTAGACACTCAAAAGTTATGTATATATATATAATTATGTAATATATTTTTTGAAAGATTCGAAGCTGCAAGCTCCATTGAGAATGTGACAGTAATCCCAATGCACCGACACAGTTGCAACTCCAATCGTCAGTCATAGAAAACCGTGACTCAAGCGACTGCAGACCCTCTCCATGCGATAGCACCTCTGCGAACTCATCATCAATATCCGCAAGGGTCTCTAAGAGGTTTGACCGGGCTTCTGCAACCTGTGCGGTGCAAAATGCAAAGCTTCAGACAGTAGAGATGCAAAAGCTCAGTGTATCGTGCAAACTGTGCATGACAGCCGCAACTTTCTTGCAAAAGGCCTTGCCACAGTACAACTGTGTATGCACCATCTGTAGGAGGTTGTCTTCGAAGTGAGCAAACTTCAAACAGCGTTGTTATGTGCCTTCTCTTTCATGGCTTCTGGAATTTCAGCAAATTTTCGACCTGAGCCGGTCTTTTGGCTGTCACTGAGTTTGAGTCATCTAGAATTCCTCAATATCCAAACACTCAAACACAATGGAGACTGCGACAGCATGAAAACTGCGACAGCTCTCGACTTGTTTGAGTATTGATGATGCTGACAATGTCTTGTGCAGCAAAAGAAACACATGGATCCTCACAAAATCCTAAGTAACAAGAAGCTACTAGGGGCTGGTGGCCTTACTACTAGGAGCAAGGACGCTACTAGGGGCTCCTGGCATCACTACTAGGAGCAAGGACGCTACTATAAGCCTCTGACCTTATCCCAACACGCCTTGAGAGTCACACCACACCCCGAAGCGAGGCCCCCACTGATTCCATCTTTGCCTTCGAAGAAGCTTGCCTCAGCCCAACCGTTTGCACCGTTTGCAGCGATCATGGCAGGCACAAGATCCCTCACCGTCACTTTAACTGTGGCGTCATGCTTCATGTCAAATACACGTTTTTTCCAACCTACTAGCGATGGCCGCCAACCTAACAGCGATGATCAAAGAAGTTCATTTCGCTCATTGGACCATTGGCTTTGCCATTGTTGGCCTCATTGGACCTCCAGCCAGCGGCGCTTCTCAGGCATCCACCCGCTGGGACACCAAATCACAGATGCCTGGTGAAGCCGTGGCGGTGCAAAGAACCAAACCCACACAACTTGGCATAGCTCAAGGCAGGTGCTGCCACGAGCTTCTTGTATTCGTCGCTTATTGAAAAAGCTCTTGAAAAGCTTTCAATCCATCTTTTGCACGGTCACACTCTTGTACTCTCAATCAAACATGTGCCTATGAAATTGTCCTCCTCTCCAATGGGCAGCTGCAGCGGTTGGCAGGTAAGACCTTGACAACCCGCGTCACAGCACCAGCTCCCTCGACTTTCTAGCCAAAGTGCGAGTATGAAAGATTAATTCTCAGTCATCAAGCACCACACACCTTTTGAGTACAATCGATTACAACACCCCTTGCCCAGCAAAGTGAACCTTCACCCTGCAAGCGTCTCCTCGGAAAATCAGCACTAGGGCTCTCGCCAAGCTTCTGACGAATCTGTCCAAGGACCTTCACAATGACCAGTTGGATTGTCTGAAAATCGAAGTTCACCAGCTTCGAAGGCTGTTCAAGTCAGCTAGAGCCGCACATGGAATGGATCAGAGCCATAGCGATCAAGCTTGTTGATGAAGACCACACGAGGCACCTCACGAAGTACACGAAGAGCACAGTGCATAGTCACCACACTCTGAAGCAGATGTTAAGGGTCATGAGCGCTGACTTCTGGGCGCAGACCCTTGAAAAAAACTGTATCATAAGCAGGCCCGTTTGAAGAACTCTCGTTGTGAGACAGGGACAGACAAAGCCATGACTGGGCCGTGCAGGAGGTTCAAAAACAAGTACGCAAACTACTCTAGGCGAAAACAAGTGTGCCTCATATCGCTTCATCTGTCTATCCACTGTGATGGTCTGGCTCTGGACCTCAAGTCAGAGCAACTCTGGGCTTGTAGCCCTTAAACTGCGCTGCTGATGCCTAGCAGAAAGCAAAAGAGATGAACAAACAAACAAACAAACAAACAAGCAAACAAAGGAAAGGAAAGGAAAGGAAAGGAAATGAAAGAAAAGAAAAGAAAAGAAAAGGAAGAAAGAAAAGGAAGAAAGAAAAGGAAGGAAAAAAAGGAAGGAAGAAAAGGAAAGAAGAAAAGGAAGAAAGAAAAGGAAGAAAAGGAAGGAAGGAAGGAAAGAAAGAAAGAGAGAGAGACAGAGAGAGAGAATTAGCTAGCTAGACTGACCAAGAAATCACCGTGAAGCTGAGGTCAGAGCACCCCCCACACCACAACAAATCAGGACGGCTCCATCTAAGACACGCAAAGCCCGTTCCACCTGAAAAATCACAAAGTCAACAAGCTCGAGATGTGTGTGTGTGTGTCACCCCCTGTACCAAAGGGTCCAATGCCACCGTTTCCATTACCACCACTTAACAAGGCAGGGGGGCCAGGCCTGTCACATCCGACCTGGCCCAACGAAGCTGGGATGTGACAGGGGAAGCACCAAGGGACGCCTTGGTGTGTACCTGCAAAACAACTGTTGTTCACGCTGTCTACTTTCTTGGTTTGTTTCCATGGTCGTTCTCATGATAGATCCCAAAACAGGTTTCCCTCGCTACATATTCAGTAACTAACGTGCGCAGTCATACAAACTTTGTTAAACACCTTCAATTCCACTGACCCAGCCGCCTTGCCGTTTTCGTCCATTTTTCGCTCGCTACGTATTCAGTAACTAGAGTCCGCAGTC